GGGAGGTGGCCTTCTGTACAGTGCAGTGGGTACTGGCCAGCCTCTGCTTCTCCTTTCTCTGGAGGGAGGGGAATTGCTCAGGTTGGCTCCTGGTCTAGCCTGCGGCTCCCACGATGGGCTGGCAGTGCTGATGTACCACCTTTCTCTTCCAGAATTGGCAGGGTGGCTGGAAGGCTTCCCCAGGAGCTGGCGGACGACGTAGTGGGGTCGGTGCTGGACTGTTTCAGGTATGTGGTGGGAAGCTATGGCTTTTCTGCCTTACATCCTGTCGTGTTTTGTTAAATTGAGCTTCTCCTCAGAGTCCTAGAGTGGTTTTTTCCTTTTAAAGTGAATTGTAGGACTCAAGTTACTTCTGGTATGTTTATCAGCTTAGATCCCATCACATTTTAAAACGTCAAGGAGAAAGAAAACCAGTCATGAACACACACACACACATACACACGCATGCACACACGTTCTTAGAACCTGTGGTCGGCATATCCCAGGGCACAGTGTGACGATGGAATGTTCTGGATCTGTCTCTAGGGCAGCCACAAGCCACCTGTGGCTCTTGAGACTTAAAAAGAGGCTAGTATCCCTGAGGTCTAAATTGTAAGTTTTATTTAACTTTGACCAGAACTAACTTCAAACAGTCAGACACTGTGTTGTACCTCTCCCAGCCTTTCAGAGCGTTCTGAGGGCCGACGGCCTGCCCGTGACACAGATCTAGGCCACCGGTGCAGGCGGCGAGGTTGGGCTGCGAGCCGGGGGCCTGCAGGGCCGGGCAGAGCAGAGCCTGGGTGGCACAGTGCTCCCAGGTGCGTGTGTCCATGCGTTGGTGGCAGGCACAGTAAGCAGTTCCTCTGGGGCCCCTCACTTGTGCAGGTGTCTCTCCTGGTCGGAAGCGGGTGTTTGGAGAGTGGGTGCTGTTTGCTGGTCACCGGCTGCACACTTGCCCTCATTAGCTGGTGGCTTTCCTTGTCGGGTCGCTGCATGTGGAATGTGTGCCGTCAGCACTTTTGGGGCTCGGTGTCACTGGGGCAGCTCCGTGAGCGTCCCACAGAGCCCCTGCTGCTCCTGAGCGGGTTTCTTCTCGCACTTTGCCTCGAGCCTGCTCGGTGACAATTTAAGGAGTGCAGGAAACAATGTGTCAAATGTGGGTCATCTCTTTCAGAGTAACGGTGTGTATGTGGCCTGTCTGTCTTCCTGTGGAGACATCTCACTTCCTGCAAACGCATACACTTCTCGGTGGGCCGTGTGGGGCCAGGGTTGCGGGACGAGCCAGTGTGGGCTTTCCTCTCTCCCCGGCAGTTTTGCCGGCTTGTTGGAGGGCACCTTCCTGGAGTTCTTTTCTGGTGGGTGGTGATGGGCGCGCTTAGTGCCGGGGCCCCGCTGGGTGTGGAGGTGGCTGCTGAGGGGCGGCCACTGGTGTGGCCGTGGTGGGGTGTCCTGCTCTCGGGAGAGGGCAGGGCTCTGAGGGAGGGTTCGGGAGCCTTTCCTCCGGCTCTTCTCCAGGATGGTTGTCTGCTTCCACCCCTTCTTTCCTCTGTTCTTTCTCTCTGGTTGGTCCCAGCTCCTGCGTATGGAACTCCCCCTTTCCTTGCACAGTCCCTCCCTCCCCTTCACCCACGGCACTCCTTCGTGAAGCCTCTCCCCGCAGTGTTGACCATCTTTTCTTTCAAAAGACCTGTCTCTGGTCAGTAGATTTAGTCCAGTTTCTCTTGTCCTTGTGAGTTTAACCTAAAGGGCTCTTGGCCTTCATGTTATCATTCGGATGAGCTCTGGTTCTGCAGCTAAGCTCCGTGGGGTGGGAAGGCCTTCCTGCTTCTGTCCCTGGGCAGCAGCCTGTGTGCATCCGCCCGCAACACTGCGTCTTCCCGGTGGCACCTGTGCACCACGGGCGTGAGATGTGGCACAACCAGGAGTTAACCACAGATCAGGGCTTTCTGAGACATGGAGGCACTAGGCGGGCGGCAGGGACTGGGCACAGCAGCCGTTCCGTTCTTGTCCTTCCTTTTGTGTCCTCCTGGGACATGTCAGCTGCCAGCCTTTTCTGAGATGGGTCAGAAACAGGACGTGGGCTCTGCTGACTGCAGCTGCTCCTGCTCCCAGGACAGACTGTACTCCCCACTGTTCCTGGGCCAGGCCATGTGCTGCGGAGCTGCCGGTGTCCCTGAGAGGCTTCACTGGGATCTTCCACTGGCTCCCTTCCCCTCCCCCACCCCATCTCCTGAGTGTGGTGCAGTTGTCCGTCAGCCCCACCAGTCCACTCACGGGCCGCAGTGTCAGCCCTGGGCAGGCCTGGAGACTTGTGCTGCAGGTGCTGACGTTTCTTAGGGGGTGGGGGGAGTGGCTGGTGCACAGTCACTGGAGTGCCTGCTGTGGTGGGTTCACCAGGACCTGACTCACCACAGGGCCTCTGCAGAGGAGGGGGGGCAGGGCACTGCTCTCCACTTGGAGTGTGGTGTTGTGTTTCCTGAGCCTGCGGATGTTTTTTTTTTTTTTTTAATATTTTATTTCTTTATCTTTAGAGGGAAGGGAAGGAGAAAGAGAGGAGAAACATCAGTGGGTGGTTGCCTCTCACATGACCCCCACCAGGGACCTGGCCCGCAACCCAGGCATGTGCCCTGACTGGGAATTGAACCAGAGATCCTTTGGTTTATAGCCTGTGTTCAATCCACTGAGCTACACCAGTCAGGGCAGCCTGTGGATGTTTTAAAGCCCATGGACAGGTTTTGGTTAAGGTGCAGGGTTGGGACTTTGGCAAAGTGGGCCTTGGAGGAAACGCTGGGGTCCCAGGTGCCCTTTGTGTTCTCAGTTTCCAGGAGACGGATGACGCCTGGCATGGTGGGTGCTTGGCTCTGGCAGAGCTGGGCAGAAGAGGTCTGCTGCTCCCTCCGCGGCTCCCGGACGGTGAGTACCTGCTGCACCCTGGCTTTTCTTGGTCAGGACTGCTGTGAGCATGGTGCTTCCCGTCCCCCCACGTGGCCTGCGTGCACCATGCCCTGCCTGCTCCCTCGCTGACTGATGTTGTGTCTGCAGGAGAGGATGTGCTGGATTCCCCTCAGCCTTCCTCCTCATGTGGCCCTTTCTCAGCTCCTCATTGCTGCTTCTCCCTGCTGTGCAGTTTTAACACTCAGCCGCATTCCTGGATTTGGGGGACACGAGCCTCTGTGACGTCTGAGATGATCTTGTCCCCGGTGCCAGTGTTCGCTGTCATGGGGGTGCTCTGGGCCATTGTGAGTGCATGCACTGCAGCTGTGTTTATCACCAGGAGGGACGTCGTGGTCCAGTGGGAGCCAGGCGTGTGTCGAGTAGTGGGCGGGAGCCTGAGTCTGGACCTTGGCCTGTGATGTGTGGTTTTGCTTCCTGCGGAGTGTTGAGTTGCGAGAGAGCAGAGGTGCCCTCCTTCTGTTCTTTCTCAACCACGTTGGTGTCAGAAACAGAAGAGCCCTGTGTGCCTCTGGGGTTGAACCTCAACAGCCACGTTTGAAGCTGGTGTGTGGCTGTTCTCGGTGCTTTGGGGCTCTTTGTAACAGGGACCTCGTGGATGCCCCAGAGCGTTTCGACAAGCTCTGCCTCCCTCAGAGCTGATGTCAGTGGTTTTATATCAATTGAATGTGCTGCAGAGCGTGTGACTTGTTGAGCACAGTCCGTTTGAAATGAAACTGTCTCGCACGCTTTCTCATGGGAAGAGCGCACACGGTGGGTGGGCGTCCTGCTGCCCTCATGCCCTGTCTGCTCTGTGTCCCTTTGACTTTCTTGAGCCGCCGCGCAGGGCACTGGTGCTGCCCCTGCACTCACGCTGCTGCGGCTCTGGGCTGCTACATTTCCTGTGGCTGCAAGGTGCTAAGTTTTTCCAAATTATGTTTTAAAAAATTTATGTTGTTAGCACAAAGTTGATCAAAACAAGAGCAAATAACATTGTCCTGCACTGCAGCTCTGAATGAGATGGATTTTAGTTCATGCCATCCCTTGGTGAGTAGTGCTTATATGTAGGTCGAGGCGAGATTCTACATCGATGTTTTATTGTATTTTTATTTTAAAAACTTTACTTTTTAGTGCTGTGTCCACTAGCCTTGTTCTACATGCAGCTGGTTGGTGATGACTCTGCTGCTTTAGCCGCTTCGTCCTCTGACATCACTGGACCCACGTTCTGGTGACAGCCACCTACCTGGCTGAGGCCTTTCTCCCAGACACTGGACTGATTCCCACCCTCAGCACCACTGGCTTTCCCAGGGGCCCTTTGTTGACATCCCAGGCGGTCTGGGTGGCAAGTGGGAGAAAGGGCTGTTGTGCAGGGGGAGGGGAGGGGAGCCTGCAATTCAGGCCAGAGCGGTTTTAGGCAGCTGAGGCTCTGGAACCTCCTCTGAGGCCTGAGGGCCCTTTGGAGAGTCTCCAGGGAGCCCCAGGGTGGCGCCCATGCTCGAGCTCAGTGACCACTGGTCTGCATGTGTACTCACACCCTCACACATGCACACACGTGCACACATGTATGCACACACACATTCTTCCCAGTTTGTTTTAATTGCTGCCTCAGCTCTTGTCTCTTTTTTCATGTTAAGTTTATTATGGCAAATACACTGAAGTGTCACACAGTTCATGTTTGTCTTCATTTTGTGTACCCTTAAATTTCATCTCTGACTTTATTGGAAAATTAGCAGTTCAAACATCATTTTAGGGAGAGAGGAAATGAGGCTGAATGAGCAGAAAACCCATTATAATGTTGTACAGAGTAGAACCCAGTGATAATGGCTTCACCGTCAGTGCGCTTTCCATATTGGAATAAATTATTTGTATAAATAGCCTCTTGCTAGATGTGTGTTATTCAATCGTAACAGATCACAATGTTTTTACATACAGCACTTGAATGTTAGCACTGCAAATGTTTTTTCTGGCATTTCCAGTTACTTCAAAACACAGTCGATTTAATAATACAGTTAAGACAGTATGTTCTTGTGCTAAGATATTTATAAGAAAAGTATTTTGAAAAGGTTTTCCATGAGGTGGCTTATACCTGAAAGTTACCTTTTAGCTCTACCTGTTTCATTTGGTATTTCACAAAAGTAAATTAAAAGCCAGGGTCTAACTTGTCAGTCTTGTGAGTCATTTAAATGTTCTTACATCCCCAAGTGGAAGCACCTTACAACATTTGTGCTTGGTATTTACAGAAAGTGAACTGGATTGCAGCTTGCTTTCTGTGTGGGTTTTTTTTTTTAAGAAGAAAAAACTGCCTTGTAAAAATCGACCAGATAAAAAAATGAAGGCGCCGTTGAAGGTTTGCTGCTTTGTGCCTTCAGAGCGACTTGAAGTTCTCGGCCTTTGGAGGCTCTCTGCCGGGTGGGCTGGCACTAAGACATCCGGGTCCTTTTCCGGAGAGTGAACACTCTGGCCGTGTCGCTCAGCTTTGCCTTCTTAGCTCCCTGCTGGGACCTCCCTGCATCCCGTGGGCTTGTTCTCTTCTGTGCTTTGGGTCTGAGGTCACTCGGAGGCTCCTGGCTTGCTGAGGCACTGGGCGCGGGTGTGTCACGTTGGCAGGTGGACTCCTGGGCTGCGGGGTCCCCATCGCCCACCCGGACAGGGCCTGGGCTGTAGGCTGCCAGTTGGCAGAGGGCCACGGCCGCCGTCTGCTTCTGCTCGTCACTGTTGTCCGCTGCTCGTGCATCCTGGGCCTTCCCAGTGGGGCTGGCCACTAGAGCCTCCTCAGAGCTAGGGCCGTTCTGGTTCGTCTCAGTGTGGTCTGGCCCATCTCCAGAACCTTCTGGCTCAGCCTTCTGAGAAGCAGGAGCGGGTTCCGGCTCTCGTGGCGGGCTGTGGAGGGAGGGCCTCGGCATCAGGGCATTGCAGGGGTCCTTCACTGAGAGGTTAAGAGGCACGTCCTGCAGCTCTTCGAAGTCTTTGTACACGGGGTTGTGAGTGGCTGCCGGCTTGGTCTCCAGTTTCTTGGAGAGGTTCAGTGGGGCTGTCCTGGAACCACCCTCCGGGCTGGACGGCGTGCTGTCGCAGGTGCTTCCTGCCTGGGCCGCAGCGTCGGTGCTCAGCACTTCGGGGCTGGGAGAGGCAAAGAAAAGGCTTAGTAGGCACCTTGCTTAGAAAAGCTGCTGTGTGAAGCTCTTTGAGCCAGTAGCTTGCTAACTGAGCACAACCCAGAGACATGACTTTGGAGGTTTTAAAAATAGGAAATGTTCTTACCTTTTTGGGGAGTTGTCTCTGTTTTCCAGAGCTTGGGAATGTGGGTGCTCTGTGCTTTTCATGATGGGCTTGAAGGCAGTGAGGCTCTGTTCGGGTTGCTGGAGCCTTCCCAAGGCACTGAGGGTGGGCTTGTCTGAGAGGCCGCCCGGTCCAGCACATGGCTGGCTTGTCTGTGTGAAGTTGGTGGGACTCGGCCTTCCCGGGGAGCCCGTGGCTGCGCTGCCTGCGCGTGGGCTCATCTTGGTCCCTTCTGTGTCCCTCTGCCCGTCTTTGGGAGGGTCTTCAGCCTCGGGAGTCAGACTCTCTTTGTCAAACTCTGCATGTTTTTTATGGGAGTTGGAAGGGTTTAATTTGGACGGACTCGAGGCCCGGTAGACCAGGGCAGCTTCTTCGAGTAGGTGAGAACTTTGATCTTGTGAAATACCAGTGACAAGTGGGAGTCTGAGACCATAGGAGGAAAATGCAGACTCTGGTCTGTAAAATCCATAAGGAATTGGCAGATTGGGGTGGTACTGCTGGAAGAACCTGTAATGGTCGTATGTCGAGGGAGATGGGTTCAAGTGCTTAGGCATTGGCCCTGGGTGAGGCAGGAAGTGCCTCTGGTCTTGGGCCCCATAGACCGACAGCAGGGGGGTGTCACACTCCGGCGAGTTCCCAGCTAGTCGGTAGGGTGAGTAGATGGTGGCCAGTCCGTGCTCTGTGTAAAAGTGAGGTGGGTACTCAGGGATCGTAGGGTGCATGTAAGGGGAAAGGGCACCAAACCCCTTTGTGGGTGGGATTTTATGTGGAAACTCGGGCGGGAGGAATGGCGAGCCAGCTTTCCACGGGTAGGCAGGGGCGTGGAATGCAGACTTGGTGTGGAAGGCGGTGGCCTTGGCGGTGGGGCTGGGCAGGGCTAGCGGCTCGGGAGCCTCAGTGTGCTCTGGGCCCTTGAGTCTGTGTTCTCCCACGGGAACAAAGGCCGACGGCCGCACGACGCCTTCCAGGGCTGGCTGGGTGCCCAGGGCGGCTTCTGGGGCCGGACCCAGGCGTGCGGCTTCCTTGTGGGGAGTGGGCTTCTGCCCGGTGCCCTTGTGGGGCCCGTGCACCTGCAGTTCCACGTTTTCCTTGGCATCGTCCTTAGCAAGGCTGAGCGGGAGCTTGGCGTCCAGGTGGGGGAGCCTGTTAGTGGCAGACTTGGAGGAGGTGGGCTTTACCACAGGGTCTGGCGGGTGCACGTGCTTAGGGTCCAGAGAGTTAGATTTGGAGCACTTGGGGACACGGTCTTGCTCCGACACTAGAGTGATGGAGTTTTTACAGAGACCGTACTTCATGTGGTTAAAGAGATGAGACTTCTCGTTGCAGGTGAAGGGACACTGGAAGCACTTGTACTTGAAGGGCTTTCCCGGAGGCCTGGGGATGTAGTGCGGCTTCTTGGGTTTCCGCTCTTTGAGGAGACTCATTTTCTTTTCTCTGGCGGGGGTGCTGGTCTTCCCTGTGGCCCACTCACGGTGGCTCCTGCTTAATCCACACGTGGAGCGTTGCTGCTTCCCTGCTTCCTTCCTGCCGCCTTGTCTGCAGCCAGCTCGCTGTGTGCCAATCTGACCGCGGGAGTGCCACTCATCTGGGGGCCTGGAGCTGCAACGGAGGAGCAGAGCTTTAGTCACAGGACAGTGGCTGGAGGGTCAGCAGGGAAAGCCTGTTCTCACCTTGAACACTGGGGGGTCAGAGCAGAGGTATCTGGAGAGAAGGGGTGCAGCCAGCCGCCGGGGTACGGTCCAGCCAGCTGCCCCTCTCAGAGCAGACCTGCGCTGCCTGGGGGCAGAGAGGACTGGTGTGTGTGTGTTTGGGGTCAGCTCCAAGAATACCTGTCATGATTTGAGTTCTGGGAACCTTTCTCTTGTGACCTGAGGCATCAGATGCTGGGAGGCCGTGAACTGTGGAGGCTGAGTGACTGGGGACCAGTCCTGCCCACCTTCACAGAGTTTCTGGCCCAAGTCGCGTCACGGCGTGGTCTGACTGTGCTAGGGGGGCCGCACCTGTACGCGAGTGTTCACTGGGAGCAGCAGGTTGTCACGGTAACATGCAGGAAGTGCCCCTTGACGGGGCTGCCCTGTTGAATCTCGTTGTATTCCATGTGCAGGTGTCACAAATACATCTAGAAACACAACCCCACCCCGAAGCTCCTGTCTGCACGGCTACCAGCGCAGCCGCACTGTCTCAGTGCAGGTGGAGGTAGGCTCCGCACACTTGCAGGGTGCTGTGCTGCGGTGCTGTCAGGGAGAGCCTTCGGGGGCCGAGAGTTTCTGTTTCTACCACCTTCCTAGGGATTCATGCCTGAGCGTCGCTGGGCACCTGCTTTCTTTCCTGGCCTCACCTCCAAGTGGCAGGAGCATCGCCACCCTTATACTCAAGGGAAAAGCGGTTGGGGGTGCCTGGTGGGATCGTGGTGGGAACCCATCCCAGCCTCTGCCCTTCAGCAAGGGCACCTGGTCTTAGGCCATGCCCACTCAGACCCTTGACCTGAGTAGTCAGGGCCTCCTGGGCCTGTCCCTCCCCCAGGGCCCTGGGTCCCCGCAGGGGCTGCTGGTGTGGCTGAAACTTCAGGTTCCTTTCCCTGCCTACCACTCCTAGGCGTGAGGGCAGGTCTCAGTCCTGGCTGCCTTTTGAGGCTGCTGTGCATACCTCAGGGCTCTGGGCCTCCAGGCTCAGAAGTTGAGCACAGCTGGGAGGACCAGCCCCTGGAGTTGCCGAGTCCAAGAGAAACGCGGGGGTGGGGAAGGCTGCCCGGAGGTGTGAGGAGTCAAGGCCCAGCATAAAAGTTTGAAAAGGAGAAGGTCTTTAGCTTTGACATATTTTTAAGGAGCTTAAAAAAGTAAAAAAGATGACTTAAAAAACTTTTCAGCTGCATTTTTGCTTTAAGACTTTAAGAAGTGTGATTGGATTTTATGTTCAAAGCATCGCCTTCTCTACAGGTGGGGAGACATTCACCAGGAAAGCAGCCTTTGGGAAACAGACCTGCATGTGGGAAACCTAAGGGACTTGCTTTCACAGCGCAAGGCGGTTACTGGTTACCATGGCTGCCTCTCCGCCGGTCCCACACGAGAAGGGTGAGGTAACGGCCCTTGGTGGGGGTGGGGGTGGGAGGTGTGGGGCTCTGATTTTCACTCGGACACCTTACATTGTGAGAAAGCTGTCTGATTTATTCGCAGAAAACTGGTTTCTCTGCTCACCTATTCATATTTCTTAAAAATACAAAGAACCAGTCTCCCACTGACAGGCCGCCTGTGTGGCGCTGTTTCGTCCCCCAGTTCTTTCAGGGCCTGTCTGTCTGTCTGCTTACTGAAGCTGTCTGGGTGGGAGAAGCCTTGCCGATGCCTAAACTTTCTGAGGGCTTCTGCAGAGTTGGGGACTGCAGCGCACGTTGTGGGTGACAAAGCGGGTTTCTGGCTGCTCCACAAATGGGGAGAGGGGTCCCTGGGCCTCGCCTCTCGGGGCATCATCAGCAGGCTCCGCCTCTGCAGGCCGCCCTCCCTCCCTCCCAGCGCGTGCGGCCACAGGAGCTGCCAGGCCGGGTCCAAGCCAAGCAAATTACGCTTGTAATCATAGCTTTGTGTCTTTCTAATTTCCCTGCTTATTGTAGGAAAAATGCGCAATGACTCTTCACAAGTGTTCAGTTCATACCTCGGGGGGCAGATACGCTCTGGGTGATAAAAGCACAATTTCCGTGCGGCCTGCCGGGCCAGCCAGATAAGTCAGCAGGGCCTGTGCCGGCACGTCTCCCTGCACTCTGGTTCTGGAGGCGTGAGAACCTCTGCGAGGCAGCTTCCCAGGGCTGCGGAGGATGTGTCACGGCAGAGACCTGAAAACGGGTGATTTCATCACTCGCTGTGAGCAGCTCCTTCCCAAGGTGACAGTTGCAAAACGTTTTATCAGGTGTGAGCCCAGAGTCCCGGTATCGGGATCGTGCTCAGGTCCACCCCTCCGGCCCGGAAATGAGTGCTCAGCCGAGAAGAAAATCCCCTCTGGACTTAAGAAAAGCATGTCAGGGTTAGAAGCCGTCTTGTTTAACATAGCTGGTGCTTTTAGGCAAAAATATGAATAAACCCACATTGGTTAAGGTTTCTCACAGGTTTATAGGACGCAAATTGCATGTAAGTTGATCAGTATTACCCAAAAGGATACTTTGGGAGATAATTGCCTCTCTCTTAATGTGTACTTTTTAATCAGTTGTGTCTAGAGTTTCTGTTGTCTGAGGTTGGCCCACGGGACAGTAAACAAGCCTTCAGGACAGCCCCAGGCCAGTGTAGTGGGAGTTAAGGGCCACCCTGGAGTCACAGGCGCAGTCATGGCATTGACTCGGGAAACTGACCCCCCTGGGCTGCACAGTTGCTGATTACAGCGGTGAGCACGGCCGAGGAGGCCGTGAGGTTCTCGGACGGCCTGTGGTGTGCCGTGCGTCTGTGCGTCCTCCTGCCCAGTGAGGTTTACAGAGTGCCGGAACTAAACTGGTGTCAGATCTTACCCCCAAAGCGCATTGTTGCCAAAACAGTACAGTCCCGAGCTTTAACTGTGTGTAGCAGGTGGGTCTGCGTTCCTGGGGAGCTTTTCCTGTGGGACTTCAGAGGGGTCCCTGAGCCCCTTTTTTGGGGACGCACGTGTCTAGTTAACACGGTGCTTGAAAGCTGTGCAGTGAGAGGTTAGTAAAATGAGACCCTGGGACTTGGCTTTGTATTGGCATCTGCGCAAATTCGGGTGTTTGCCATTCCTGAAAGGTTTACGTGACAGTGTTTTTGACCCTCCTGCACTCCCAGGGCTGCCTGCCCTGCCTCAGAGAGGAGCCAGTGTGAGTGCCCTGCGCGCAGACGCACCGTCACGGGCAGAGGAGCCTTTCGGATAAAGCAGCTGGTGCCCCTGTCCACACTGGAGGCAGAGGACGTGGACCACGGACCTCACACAGATCTTCCTACTTCACACAGGTCTCCCTGCTTCATTTAGAAGTGTGCCTCTTGTGACTTTTCAAGCATTTTTAAACATCTGCTCGGGCTTAGTTGATTGGCTTTTTTGCCTGTGGGCAGAGCCAGGGGCAGGGCTGTCTCTGGCTCCCCCTTTTCCATGGGGGCAGGGCTGGGTGCACCAAATTGCCCTGTCCTTCTGATGGCCCCTCAGTGTGGACACTTAGCTCGGCTGCTCATGGTTAGGATGATAGTGAGTGGCTGGCAGATGTAGAGAGTTTCTAAGTAGCTTGAACTCTGAAAAACAGACGACAGGAGGAGGCTCTTTTGGAACTCTGGTTGGGCATGCGAGCAGTCACTACAGCTGAGCTCTGGGCGAGGTGCTGCACCTGCCCTGCGCGTGCCCCCGTGTGCCGGACTCAGGCTGCAGGACTCCTTTCGGCAAGTCCAGCTGTCTGGCCAAAGGCCTCGTCAGGCGGGACGCTGTGAAGGGCATGCTATAATTACAATATTGTGAGGTGGCGTTGTTGCGTAACTCAGGGACACACCATTGTCGCCTACCCACTGGGGTGTCGCAAGAACAAGATTTGTGAGTTTTACTCCAATTGAGCTTTTCCAGTGATTAACCGCCACTCCCTCCCAGACTTTTGGTTCTTTAAAATGCAGGGCAGCCTTAGGGACAACCGTGACCTGGGGGGAGAGGCAGCTCCCTGAAGGGCTTGGGAGGACAGGCCCAGGGAGCGAGCAGAGCTCGTACTGGTCTTGGCTGCGGCCCCACCTTACAGACAGAGCTCCGGACGGTAAATGCCCAGCTTTCAGGTCCAGCGGCCGTCACTGCAGCCCCGGAGCTCAGCGTTTGTCCCCACAAAATCCAAACCCAAACCAAACCAGTTCAAAGCATTGAAAGGACTTTGTTCATGCAAAATAAAAACTAGGACAGCAAACGTAGACAGACTTTGCTTAAGTAAGGTCTGTCTCGGCTCAAACCTGGCCATTAATTTGGTCAGTAATTGTTCTTATACAGATTTATAAAAAACTTTATAAAGAGGGAAAAAACCCTCCTTTTCTGTATATAAGGATCAGTTAAGGTTTTTTTTAAACTAATGCTAGAACAGTACTTATTTTAAACTTTAAAACTTTAAAAGACTCTAGAATTAAAGAAACTGTGAATTAAAACCAGCAACGGTGTAATCACATACAAGTATATATATGACCTTTTACGTTGAAACTTACCATAGTTTATTTTTAAGGTGAGGAACAGATAAGCAGTAATAAAAATTAGACTTTTATTTTAAACTTTATGGGTTTTATAGTAGAAATGAGGACTTAATTTCTAGTTTAGCTTCTTCACAGGCTGAGAACAAAGTGTAGCCTTGTTAAGAGTTTTGTAATCGAGGTCTGCTCTTCAGTGATGCACCTGCTGGGTCCTGAGTAATCCTTAGAGACAGCAGGGCAGCAGCCGATTCACTGGGGCAGATCCTTCAGGACCCAGCTGAGAGTCGTTTTGAAAGGAAAGGTGAATTTGAGAAGAAATGGCAGGTACTCACCGGAGGCAGGCAGTGCAGGAGCGGCAGGCGGCGGGTGGCGGACAGTGCCCAGGAGCAGGACTGTCTCAGCCGGCTGCTCTGTGAGACTGAGCTGCCGCCCCGGTGGGAGGGGTTTAAGTGGAGGAGTTGAGCCCTCGGGCCCTGGAGATGCACCTGATATTCCTCCTGCCCGCAGCTACGATTCATGTGTTTGCTCCCACGTGTTTGCACCACTGAGCTGCCTCAGAGCAGCGTCACCCATGGGCCACGGCAAGCACCACAGTGTGCCTCCCGGAAACTCCCTGCTTTGGCTTGTGAGTGCCATGTGAGGGCCGGCCCGGTGTTCAGGCAGAGGTTCAGATGTGTCCGCCGTGAGGATAGAGGTGAATGCAGTGCAGGTCAGACTCCAGTTAGTCTGTGATGTGGTAATAAAGACGGTGTGGGAGACCTCTGCGCCCAGCTCCAGTGCGTGTTGGCAGCTGGGAGCCAGCCGCCAGTCAAGCCGAGATTCCGCCTGTAGTGTGTCTCCCCACATGTCGTCCCGGAACCGAGGGAGCCTTGCGCTGTGCCTTTTGCCCTTTACCCTGTGCCTGGCAGTCTTTGTCCTTCATCCTCCTCGAGAGCTGGGAGGGAGGGAGGCAGCCTCAGCTGGCCTTGCCTCGCCTCAGGGACCTGCCAGCGCACGCCCGGGACCAGCACCGCGCTCCAGCTCACAGGCGGGCGGGACGGCAGCTGCCGTGGGAATCAGCTCCGCACCCCCCTCTGACCTTTTCTTTCCTTAAAAAGTAACTAAGACACTTAGATTCTGACCCTGTTTACCCCCCTCCCTGCTTAGACTGCTCGCTCTTCAGTCTGTGGTTGTGCCCTCACTGTTAGTGTGGCTGGAACAGGATTGTGGACGGGGGAGGTGGCATGGGACCTGGGTCAGGCCCACGGCATGGGATCGGGTGCTTCTAGCATGGGATTGGGCTGCCCAGGCCACGTCCTGGATTTTGTTGGACTTTTTCTGTTTCTTTAAAAATTTAAGGCTTAAGACTTTATTTGGCTTTATTTACCATTGTGCTGAATTCTTTAAAAATGTTCTCAGTTAATTTTGTTCATATTAGACATCATATATTTTATTGAATAGAAAATCGTTCTGAAAGTCATGTTACAAAAAGCAGCAGGTCCCGCTGTTCCCCTTGCCTCTGCCTGGCCAGGCCTCTGGAGCTGCAGGTGTGATGGTCTGGGGGCCCAGGGTGACTCCACTCACCTGTCTTGTGTCCTGGAGTGGCCAGCCACTTGGCTGCTGGCCTCCCTGTCTAGTTTTAGTTCAGAGGCCTCCCCAAGAGGGTGGTCTCTCTCACTGGGCTGAGAACTCTGGGGGCCCAGTCCGAGCTTCCAGTCCTCAGGAAGGCTAGGCCATACTTACTGTGGCCGAGTTCGAGGGCAGGGTGACGGCCACCTCACAGCCGGAGGCTGTGCGGCTGTGCTGAGCCCTCTGCCTCCTCTTCCGCCTCCTCCTCCCACCTGGTTGCAGCAGCCCCTGGAAACACCACTGTGTGGGCCTGGTGTGCACAGCCCGCAGCACTGAGAGTGACGCTGGGTGAAGGGGACAGGCGCAGGCAGCACCAGGCTGCCTGGGGGCAGGGAATGCCACCTTGTGAGGTGGACCAGGGATGACGTGCTCACAGCTCGGTGGAGCTCCCGCCTGTGGGGCCGTGTTGGGGCTGGGTGTGAGGAGGGACGGCGCCGCAGGGCCAGCTGCAGCATCAGCTTGTTGCTGTGGCCTGGCACCTGCCGTGCTTGTGGTGTGTGTGCCTGCTCCCCTGCTTCTCAGGCCAGGCTGCTCTGCTTGATCCTTTGCTTCATGACCTCTGGCAGCTTCTCTTCCTTCCGTCCACTGTCTCTGCCACTGCCCCCACCTCCTGTGTTCTGCCCTCGTGCCCGTGCTCAGTGGTCAGGCTGCCTGACTAGAACTTGGGGTCTGCTGTTTGCTGCCTGTGACTTGGGGCGGTGGGGCGGTTCCTGGGTGGCCTGAGCCTTCCTGCCTGTAGGGAGAGGGGTGCCTTTGCATGGGTTTCCCTTGGGACCCTGTGCTGGTGCGGCCGGAGTGGCGGGAGTGGCTGGAGTGGCCTCATCACAGCAGGACCCTTGCAGGAGACCAGTCACTTCCATTCTGCCTCACAAGGGAACAAGTTTACCCCCCGTTCAGGGTGCCACCTCCAGAGGGAAGGAGAAAATTCAGAGGCATCGTGTCGGTTTCTCTAACTTCGGTTGTTGTAGAGGCCGCTGGGATGACAGTTCTTGAAGTCGGCACCCTCTCCGTTAGGTCCCATCCTGGTGACCCAGCCCCAGGGGTAGATCCCAGGCCTAGGGGCACCTTACGGCACAAGCTTTATCTCAGGCCCCCCAGACATGAGCTGTGCCCTTGGGGGTTCACATGAGACTTGATGGGGCTCCGACTGGTGCCACCAGATGTAGGCCGGACACTGCTCCCTGGGAGTACATGGTGGTGTGAGACTGGGGGGTCCCTTCTGCAGGCCCAGGCCCCTGGAGGGCAAGGCAGCTCACCTGTGTGCACGTGTGTGCCTGCACATGCACTCTTGCACACTCAAACAGTGTTCTGCAAGCCCGTCTTTGCAGGGAAGACAGAGTGGAGAGTGAGGCCCCCCCCACACACTGGTGGTGTCTCCTGCAGGAGCCCCTCCTCCCTGCCGCTGGCCTCCCGCCCCCCGGCTCCTGTTCCGAGTCCAGCTGGGCTCCCCTGCTGCCGCACACTGTGGCTCAGCAACGCGCGCCCTTCGGTGAAGGCTGTCTCTCGGGTTTCTGACCGGCACGTGTGTCCAGGCTCCTGGAGACGTGGCTCTGAGAGGGCCCTCGGCCGTTCTTGTCTTCTGGGGCCTGCTGCTGACTGGCCCCTGTGGCATGCTCGGTGGCACTTTGCCCTCCTAGTCAGTGTCCTGTCTGTGGGATTCCACTGTTTCCACAGCTCCTCCCTCTCGGCCTGGGTTTCGGAGAACTGGAGGGTCTTCCCTGCGGTACTGAGCTCCGCTGCGGCTTCTCAGGCATCTTCCTCTGGACTGAGGACCAGACTCTGTGCCGGAGCATCCGTGACATTGGGGACCACCGGCCGGGCTGGGCCAGCAGTGTGGGAGCCGGGTGCTTTCTTCAGCCGTGGGTGCTGGGAGGTGGGGAAGCTTGTCTGTCTTGGGCAGTGCACTTGGCTTCTCACTTCAGCAGAGTCCTCAGGCTGCCAGTGGACTGTTACTGTATCAAAGGGTCCAATGGCTGGGCCGCAAGTGAGGGGAGGGCTTCCCTCGGCTCGGAGTCTGCACTGCGTCAGACACGGCTGAGTTCTCATTTGCTCGTTTTTCCAAGAAGGCTACCATCCCAACCTCTGTGGAAGTGGAGCTGCTTTATTTGGGGGGTGGCAGTAAGGGAGCTGCTGCCCTTTTCCTCCCAGGCCGTTTGGGGGGCTTTGTGGGGGCAGGTGCAGGGTGTGTGTGCCTGGCACACGGCCCAGCTTCTCCCTGCATCGCCTGCCTCCTGGGAGCCACGGAGAAGGAGCAGGGACAGTGGGTTCCTCGTGGTCTGGGGGACTCGGGGACTTGGTCTAGGGGCAGCAGTGCAGTCAGGTCCTGACAGGGTCCCTGCCCCTTGCTGCCCCCACAGTGTGATCCCCTGCAGCTTCTGAGTCTCCAGTGAAACTTGAAACCGTGCTTTGTCTGAGGTTGGGAAAGTGATTCAGGGTTGGCACAAGGGCCAAGTTTTCAGGGTTCCCAGTTTCCCTGCCCTCCCCTTCTCTCCCCACCCACAGTGAGGCATCCCTGCTCAGCCCCGCCCCCAGGCTCCCTGCATTTCCAGAGCAGCCCACCCCCCCTCTGTCCTCTCCTCACTGAACTTCTTTTACAGGCCAATCACTGGATACAGTCACAACCAGGCACAGGAGTCACTTAGTTCAGGTGAACAAGGAAATGTACAGCAAATTGATATCTCCTTTTCTCTCCTCCCGCTACAGGCAGCACCACCAGTGGAAAGCCTGCCAGCACACGGTAGACGTGAACAGACAGACAAGTGAGGGGTGGGGTCGTACACGGCAGAAAGGAGCTTTCTCAGTCTGGAAGCTGCAGGTCCGAGATCAGGGTGCTGGTGGGGTCACTGCTGTGAAGGTCTGTCCCCTTGGCTGGCAGACGGCCACCTTCTCCCTGTGCCCTCCCATGGTTGCCCCTTGGTCTGTGTGTCCCAACCCTCTCCTCTCGTAAGGACATCTGTCACATTGGAAATGGGCCGCTCCTCATGACCTCATTTTCCTTGAATTATCTCTAAAGGCCCTGTCTCTAAATGCAGTCCCATGTGAAACCCTGGAGGGCAGGACCCCAGTGTGAACTGAGGGGACGCCGTTCAGCCCACAGCCCGCGGGAAGACCGCGTCTCCTTTTGGCCCTCGTGGGTGGTGCTGCTGTGGACGGTCGTGTGCAAGTGTCTGTGTTTTCTTTTCTCGCGGGCACAGACCCGGCAGGGGGACGAGCACATGTCCTGAGCTCAGAGCTGGGGTTGGCACGGAATGAACTTGGCCGAGGCACCGAAGGTCATGGTGGTGCGCTGCTGCCATGTGTCCCGGGGTCTCCCCTGGCGGGAGTGTGGCTCCCCCAGCGTTCTCCTGCCGGCATTTCCTCAGGATTTCCTCGTCTCTTTCTGCCGCCTTTTCCACATTCCCACACTCCCGACGTGTGGCGCACACCCGCCCGGGCGGGCTCAGTCTGTGAGCACCCACTCTGGGTGTGGGCACCGGGATTCCAGTCTACTCTCTCATGTTGCTTTTCCTTCACCTACAAAAATCTGTCTTTCTTGCTCTTTAAAAATTGTGGTTTCTCTTGCAGCCTCTCTTCCCCATTCCATTCTGTATCTTTCTCCACTGGCGTGCACCTGGGGGACCTCCCTGGGCTCTCGTCCTCTTCGACACTGTCGCTGCAGTGCGGGGAGGGCAGAGGTGTTTGCTCTCAAAAGTCGTTTCCGATGTCGTTTTAATTGAGGTAAAATTCGCCTCATAAAATCAACCACTGACTGTTTCAGAGTGAACACTTCAGCCTCAGTCGCAGTT